TATAATATATATATATATATATATAGTATATAATATAATAAATATATATATATATATATATATATATATATATATATATATATATATATATATATATATATAATATTATATATATATATTCATATATATATATATATATATATATATATATATATATATAGGGACGGTCATCAAACAAAAACACAATTGCTTTTTCGCGCACGCGCACAGCACTGATGGTAAAAGAAGATCAACAATGGCCGCTGAATCAGCTGTGAGAAGATTGTCAACCTACTACAATCTCTCGATTTAGTTGCTAAAAAAACGTTATGATGAAAAACTTGAGTATTCTAAAGGTACAAAAAGCTTACCAGACCCTTCCTCTCTCTCTGACGGCTGGTCTGAAAGCCCCAGTGGTTAGCCCAATGTTAGTTTTGGTGATATTTATCTCTACCTAATACACACGCCGGGGAGTTACACAGAAGAGGAGTTGAAGACCTTTATAAAATAAAACAGGGTAATGGAATTTGGTATTCAACATAAGAAAAATATCAGAATACAGCTATCTGTATTTGCTGGGCCATAATAATTGTTTGTGTGACCGAGCTTAGAAAGGTCAGTCAAACAAAAACATTATATAGATATGCGAGAATCAGCGGAGAGAAAAATGTCGGTGTATTATGAATCTCGATACGGCGGCGAAAACGGACGTAAAGAAAAGTTGTCCTAATGCCAAGGGTACAAAAAGGTTACCAGAACAGTATTCTTGATCGGATATTTGGTCAGACAGCCCCACAGGACGGCCGGATATTTCGGTGACATGCATCTGTACTTCATACAAACACGGTGTTTACACATTAAAAGAATTAAAGGCCTGCAAATCTCTGGAAGAGTACCAGTAAGTACTCAATACTGTTTATAATAAGACTGGTTCGTAGTCGTAGGATTAAATTCTCCTGAACTTGTGAAATTCTTTCTTGCTCGCTCTTTGCCCTTTAGGCCTAGTTTTTCGAAAAGTTGCTCAAAAAGGGGGTTTTATCAGAATGTTTGGGACGTTATTGCCAGACTTTTCTAAAAGGTTAGATTTACATTCCCACGCAATACTCTTCATGATACTTTGAAAAGATTTAAGCAAATTTCCTGAAGTTGTTTAGAAGCCAGTGTAGCATTAGATTTACTATCTTCATTTTGTTCCCCTTTAATGTTTTATGACTTTTGTTCAGGGAAAGTTTTAAAATCAAATTAACTGAAACCTAAAGTGAAAGAAAATACTCATTAGTAACCCGTCAGTCACTCACAACATCTACCACCGCCTAGGCCTATGCCTAACCACGGGGAAATACATCCCCTAGAAAGAATTATGATGATATAACATAATCATTTAAATTTTAGAATATCTTTATAGATAAGCTATCGTACGTACCATTAGCACAAACTCTTACATCACTCCCAGGTGCAGGATCAAAGTTCTTGCGATTGATAGCCAAAGCCTCCTTCTCTCGGGGTCTTTCGGAGAACAATTAAAGCTCAAAGTCGAACCTTTTTGCTGTCCATTTGCACACCCAATGATAATGCAACTGTTTACTATGTCGAAGTTTCAAGAAGAAGGGTGAAAAAAATGCGAATCTTATATAAATCGAGAGAAAAGGGGACGATGTTCGCGACAGACCAATATTAAATAACGAAGTTCGTGGGATTTTGTTGTTTTTGCCTACTACTGATCACGTGACAGCTCTGTTGACGTCACGATGACCGGCCCTACACACACACATATATATACATATATGTATATATATATATATATATAATATATATATATATATATATATATATATATATATATATATATATATATATATATATATATATAATATACATATATATATATATATATATATATATATATATATATATATATATATATATATATATATATATATATATATATATATATATATATATATATATATTTATAATATATATACATATATATATATATATATATATATATATATATATATATATATATATTATATATATATATATATATATATATATATATATATATATATATATATATATATATATATATATATATACATTCATACATACATATACGAAAGAAAATAATTATTGATTAGCTATGATTAAGTCTTCAGTGCATAAAGAGGAAATAAACGAAGAAAATAAATAAATGCATAAACGAAGCCTCACAAGGATTAAATAGTCAAGTCGATTTCTCTCTCTCCTGAATAAGATTGAGACGTCTGCAATTGCAATTCATCAGGACGGTAAATGGAAGATAAATAAAGGAGAGAGAGCAATTACATTAGATAGAAATAAGCAAGGTTGATATATCTAATAATCAGGAGAAAAAATCACATGATATCGGCTTTGAGAAGTAAGTGGCCGGATTAGAGAGAAAGAAGTGGCCGAAGTGGCAGATTCAGAGAGAAGAGAGAAGTAAGTGGCCGAGAGAAAGAAGTTTTAGAGAGAAAGAAAGGTGCCGGATTAGAGAGAAAGAAGCTGGCCCGGTTAGAGAGAAAAGTGGCCGGATAGAGAGAGAAGTGGCTGGTTTAGAGAGAAGTAAGTGGCCGGATTAGAGAGAAGTAAGTGGCTAGTTTAGGGAGAAATAAGTGGCCGTTTAGAGAGAGAAAGTGTCGGGTTAGAGAGAATAAGTGTCACGGGTTAGAGAGAAATAAGTGTCCGGGTTAGAGAGAAATAAGTGTCCGGGTTAGAGAGAAATAAGTGTCCGGGTTAGAGAGAAATAAGTGTCCGGGTTAGAGAGAAATAAGTGTCCGGTTAGAGAGAAATAAGTGTCCGGTTAGAGAGAAATAAGTGGTCCGGGTT